ACGTGTGTGTAAGGAAAAGGTCAAAGGTCAAACATCTTTATAAGCTCGCACACAGACAAGAACGTTAGGTTGTTTATCGTTAAGTTCTAAGTGTTCGAATAAAACATCCAACATTTTTTTTACATGACTATTTTCTTCTCGTCATTTAGTTTAATATATTTTTTGAAATATCTAGGTATTTAACTAGTTTAAATTTGGTTTTACACTAACAAGTTCATTCAGTCATGCTCTGGTAGTTATCTGGATAGAGTGACCTTGAACTTTGACCTACGGTCAGCTATAGTTTACACAGTAAACTACAGTAGAATATGTTGCAGATCGTTTTTTTTTGTTGTTGTTTTTATTTCAACCGCAATGATACACAACAAGCTATCTATGTTGTGTCCAACGCGGGGATCAAACCCAGAATTTGAGTTATAAGCTTCAAAGCTTAGCGCTGATCCTTGGGGGTAGTTGCAGAGTCATCTATCGAATTCATATTATCCGTTGTAAAACTAATTCATGATGAACACCGCATTAAAATGATTATAATATATATATATATATATAAACCACAAAAATCTGAGTGTCTGTCTGTTTGTCCTTTAACTAACTACTTCTACGTCACTGGGACAATCTCAACCAAACTTTGTGGGATAATAGTTTGGAACAAGAGGCATGTTAATGGGGAGTTGAGAACCCCCTCCACTCCCCATTATTCCTATTATTGAGCATTTATTACCTTTCACGTAAGTTAAGGTTAACTACATTCATAGATGGCACCACGTCCTTACACCGTAAAAAACAATTAAATTTTCTATAACACAACATACACAAAGTGTGTGTACACGTCTTGTATATCTAAGAGAGTGCGCTAGCACTCTCTCTCTCTATAGAAGGATTTAATGAAAAATTAGCAGCCACTATTGCAATAAAGCACGAACTCAACTGAAATTTCTACTCCAACAGCCGCCATAAGGCTGATATAAAGAGCCGTTTTTTTAGTTATACCAACTTCCTACTTTGACCTGTGACCTTTCACGTTCGGCCCGTAAGACACTTCTGCGGCCAATGACCATCAATTAATTAATCACGTGACACACCGTAGAAGGACATTATGAACGGGGTGTTGAAAGCGAGTAACAAAAAGCACCCCTACCACCACTACCTCTTCCTCCATAGTCACACTGACCATCACACAGTGTATACCATGTTTTAAGTATGTACATATTAAGTTCTTAAAGCTTATACAAAACTTTTGGTGAGGTAATAATGAATACTGTAATAATATGTTATGTTAAATATAAATTGTGAGAAAGTTATGATTTTTGTGTTATTTATCATAGCATCCAACTCCACATTTTTTAAAGTTCATAACCCGGAAAAAAGGAGGGGTAATTCAGCTCGTTACTCATAAAATTTACCTAACACCGCACACTCTCGTAAGGCAAGATCGAAAGTGCTGGATAAATGGGACCAAAAAATGAGTTATATACGTTCCATAGGTTCTAAATCGCAAATAACAAGTTTTTCTGTCACTGTTCGTAGTTAAATAGTTATTCAACACAGGCCTTACAAAGTGAGTAAAAACTACCATCTTTAACGGACAGTTTATAGCACACATGCCAATATTCAAAACACACCTTAAAAACTTACGCCTTTCTTCTAGGACTCAACTCACCTGTTGTAGTGATCATACTCTCTACGTCGGTACATTTCCATCTCACGATCACGCACAGATCCTTAAACACGAGAATTACTCTCGTTCATTGTCTTACAACAGTTTTCTTTAGCGTGTGTGTGTGTGTTTCAGGTACGTAAAAGACTGATTATTTCGCTCGCCACTGAGAAAACTCGCGCAATTACATTAAAGAGGGAAACGCTCTTCTCATTTGTACTTTAAGATCCAGTAGCCTCGGCAACAGCCCGCGTGCAGAGTGGATAAGTTGCTGAACCACGAGACAAGGAACGCAGATATTGATTACGTTCATGGGCTCTTCCATTTTTTAAATAGCTTGAGGGTGGTGATGTATATAACCAGATGAGAAGAAAAGAAGTCAACAATACTTGACTCTACAGCAAGGTGACAGAAATCAGCTCATTCAAATGGCAGGGATTGTTCCCACAATTATACATAAATAGTAATTAACCCGTATTGTTTACGATACGGTCAAAACTTTGTATTGTTCCTTACAAGGTTGAGTACGTTATATTAAAACGATTTTAAATATAAATCATCAAATCACCTGACAACCACAGTTGATATAAAATCATGGCGGAACAGACTGTATCAGAACTACATTTAGAAATTATTTGGCGTTACGTAGGTAGTGTGATGCCACTCAATACTGATCGTTTTTGGAAGGGTGTGTAATAACCCTTGTGATAACCCTTTCTGACACAAAATGTTTATACACTCACATCATAAAGATTTAGATTTTCCAAGGCAGGGATACTTCTTATATTTAAAGATTGGTAAACAGAGAAATATGGATGAATTTGGAGACACCAGACCATCCATAAAGAGATCTGTAACAAGTCTCTACCAGCCAAGTGTAGCATTTTGTAACAGATGAGAATACAAAAACATAAAGGTCAGAGGCAAAAACTGTCGAAGTGCTCCGGGCAACAGAACGAAACACAACCAAGAAGACCTCAGTCTGGAAAAAACGACACAAGTTATGTGTAAATAAATTGCTTCCACGACATATACATACAATTGTCGCATACCTCAAGCAGCTGGAGAACGAAACAAGTACTCATGCTATTCCTTACGATGACATATTGGTTAAATCGCCAGACGCAGCTGTTATGAATTTTTGTTCGACTGGACTGTGGAATGGGTGACATGAATCTAGTGTACTCATATAATACTGGCTTATGGAAAGCATCAGGGAGCCGTGGTGTGCCTCTGACATGACAGCCTTATGACGGAGCCTTTAGCAATGGAAAATATGCTGCAGGGCTATTGTCAAGATGCACGATCATCAGATAGAGCATGACTGGACGTGGCAACATGGACTGTAACGACGTGGTGAGGCATCATAATAGTTTTAATGGATTATATTAAACCCTTTATAGAAGAAAGATAAATATTCCTGAACTGTTCACTATACAGTAAACATTTCCGTATTGTTCGCTATACGGTAAGTAATTCGTATTGTTCGATATACAGTAAATACTTCTTATTGTTCACTATATGATAAATAATCTGTAAATTAATCCTCATTGTTCAACTTTCAAATATGGGGCTAAAGTTAAGAAACAAGTAGAAATTCTACGACTGCTTACAACAGTCTACTATGATTGGTTGGTTACAACGATCCTTTACCACGGTTGGTTACAACGATCCTTTACCACGGTTGGTTACAACGATCCTTTACCACAGTTGGTTACAACGATCCTTTACCACGATTGGTTACAACGATCTTTTACCACGACTGGTTACAACGATCCTTTACCACGAAATGTTACAACGATCCTTTACCACGACTGGTTACAACGAATCTTTACCACGACCGGTTACAACGACCATTTACCACGATTGGTTACAACGATCCTTTACCACGACTGGATAAAACGACCCTTTACCACGACTGGATAAAACGACCCTTTACCACGATTGGTTACAACGACCCTTTACCACGATTGGTTACAACGATCCTTTACCACGACTTGTTATAACGACCCTTTACCACGACTTGTTATAACGACCCTTTACCACGACTGGTTACAACGACCCTTTATCACGATTGGTTACAACGAAGTGTAATTTCATGTTTTGGCCTGTTACAACATCCAGTGTAAAGAAGTGTAATTTCACGTTTTGGCCTGTTACAACATCCAGTGTAAAGAAGCGTAATTTCATGTTTTGGCTTGTTACAACACCCAGTTTGAATAAGCGAGTAAAACATTTGGTAAAACCACTCATTTTCTATTAAAAACCCATAAGAACCCAATAGTAAATAATAGGGTTTATTGGAAAATTGACAGCGGTATTTGTGTTTAACCAATAAAATCGTGGACCAAGTAATTCGATGTATAACATAGTTTGAAAAGAGATATGGGGCCCAATCAGTAACTCTAGTGTTAAGGAGACATAGTAATACATGTCTTGACTACTGTATTATTAGCTGTGAAACACACATTTCACGTATCATATTCCTCGTTACTACGGGCAACAAACAACACTGTGGTCTCGAACTTAAACATTTCCAACCAAGATGGGACTTAAATGTTTGTCCGTCGAAAGTTTGTTCGTTTGTAGTTCAGCATAAAGCTATACGACGGGCTATATGTGCCGAGCTCACCACGGGTATCGAAACCCGGTTTTTAGCGTTATAAGCCTTCAGACATACCGCTGTGCCACTGAGGGGGGGGGGCGTATCTCTTACAAAGCTCCCCCAGTAGCTCAGCGGTAAGTCTCTGGACTTACGGCGCTAAAAATCGGGTTTCGATACCCGTGTTGGGCACAGCACATATAGCCCGTCGTGTAGCTTAAGAACAAACAAACCTCTGGCAAAATTAATCCATTTCACATTATTAGAAATTAATTTGGTATCGTGATCAAATTTGATGTGTTATTTCTATTTATTTCATCTTCTTCTGTAGCTTTTTCCCGTATCTATACGGGGTCGCTATTTTTGGTGTTGGCAGGGTTTTTCCTGACGCCAACCATTCCCTAACTTAGCAGTGTAAGACTAGAGGGAAGGCAGCTAGTCATCACCACCCACCGCCAACTCTTTTACCAACGAATAGTGGGATTGACCGTCACATTATAAAGCCCCCACGGCTGAAAGGGCGAGCATGTTTGGTGTGACGGGGATTCGAACCCGCGACCCTCAGATTGCGAGTCGAGTGCCTTAACCACCTGACCATGCAGGGCACTATTTCTATTTAATTCTTGTGAAAAATAAAACCATCTCAAATATATTTCAGTCAAAATCGCTCAAATGATATATATATTATAAGCTTAGAATAATAGATATTAATACTAGAGACACCTGGTGAAGGAAACTTACCTGGTCTTGTACTGTGAACGTAGCGGAAAAGCATTTATGCTCCTATGGAAAAGAAATGTATTGCCAAATGAGATAAAAACAGAAAGAAAAAAAAACGTGTACTGGAGGAAAACATCACTTTCAATAAAACTGTGCACAGTGTAAGTTAAAAAGTGCAGAAACAAGGATATCAAAATAAATTGAAAACACACAAAATACACGCACTAAACGAGGAGTATGTAAAAAAAGATGCAATTATCACAAAATTTAAAATATAAATAGCTATTACAAGTATAAGATTGTGGAATCGGACCAATCACACGTAAGGGAGAATAAGGCGTCACATTTCGTAAAAGATGGGGGGGGGGTGAATTCTAGCAACAGGACAAAAACGAGACGAATGTAATGATACATGTTTGTACCGGATTATTTGTTTGTTTGTAATTAAGCACAAAGCTACACAATGGGCTAGCTGTGCTCTGCCCACCACGGGTATCGAAACCCGGATTCTAGCGTTGTAAGTCCGCAGACATACCGCTGTGCCACTGGGGGGCGTTTGTAACGGAGGAAAGTATAATAACATTCTTTGTTCCCCTTCTGTATTTATCTAAATTAGAAGGAGGGGAAGTTTTCTTTAAATGTATATTAAAATATATATTTATTGGTGTTTAGATTAGTAACTGTAATTTTGCACAGCGAGGTTTTTTTTTAATAGGTTTTAATTTTCAAATTGCGTTCAAACCTGTCCACGCACAATGAAGAAATGAAATATTCCCCACATAGGTTGTATTTTTGGTAAAAAGTGTCGCTGGCTTCTTACAGAATTGCTTTAAAAGCGCTACAGGAAAATATGAAACTATAGTAGTGGCCCTTGTATAATGGTCTTCACCGTAGTACAGCTTGTATGACAAAGAAAACGTCTTACAGAGGAAAACAAAGACGGAAACATAAGATGAAACAGGATAAAAAAAAAATCGCTACGTAAAGAAAACTTTGATACACTTAATTACACACTGTTGTTTAAGGCCTAATGATGGAAGGGCGTGGCAGTAAATCACGTGATTTATCACCTTAACAACGAACCTAACAACAAGAATTAACATTCATCTAATATGATACAGAATAGCAAAGAAATACAGGCCACGTACCACGTTTATCTTTGAAAAAAAGAAAACTTTAAAAAAATCATAGTCACTAACCCCTATGATATAAATAGTATGAATTCTTGAAGATTGTTTGAAGATGATTATATACAATTTATAGACAGTGTGAAAAAACTTCATCTGTAGCTTAAGTTAATAGGAGATATTCAGTGAGGAAGGGAAACATCTTGATTGAGGACTTATCTTCAGTTAGCCGAGAAAGGCTTTCAGAAATTGTTTGTTTTGGAATTTGGAATTTCG